TGCTCCCCATCCAGGCTCTGACTCAGAAATGCTTTAAGGTGAGCACAGCTTACAAAAGCGTCCCCAATCTATTGCCAGCAGCGAACAAAACCATTTTTAAATGTTGTGTATATGCCTCTCCCCTTCCTCCACTAAAATCAGCTCTAAAACTCCGACTCCAGTCCTTTCTAATGGGATCTGATGTGTCCTAGGGCCCAGATCTATGCACAAGAGTGACTTTCCACACATGAATAGTCCCTGGAGTTCAATCATGTGCAAAAAGCTATTTGTGTGCCCGAGTCCTTGTGGAATCCGGGCCTGAGTCTAACTTGCTTCATTTAGCTGTCACCACAGTCGTCTCCAGTTTGCCTAGCAGTTATTTCTTTGTCATCTGATGCAGAAGTTAGGTGCTCTTTGATACTGTTCTGTTAGCTTTCCCCTCCTCTGTGTGCTGCAGTGCCCAAAAGGGATACGTAGATCTCTTAATCAGATATCACGTTGACGTTAGCTGTCACTATGTACGATACCTAGATACGTTCAATCTCACAAGCATTCGTGAATGCTCTTTTTGGGATAGCTACTGGGTACTTACAGTGCCTAGAGGATGCTTGAAGGAAGACTGTTACAATAAGAAACAGAGATTAAAAATAGTTTTTATCCATGCTCACTGATGGTCCTAGGACAAACAATCAGGCATTCGCTTAGCGTGGGAGGGATCTCCCTCAGCCAAGTGAGATAGAGTTAGAAATCATCTGACAGAGAGGTGAGGGAGGTCACACGTTACCCTCTGCCCGTGGATCCTCTCATGTTCAGTGTTGGCTGTGCTGCAAAATCAGATTGTCCCAGGAAAAACAGTTTTCAATATACTTTTCTTCCCTGGATAATGTATCTGTGAACCTTTCACATTTCACTAGCAAGGATTTATGTGGTTGTGCTGTGTTTGGGGTTTTCACCATCGAGAGCAGAATGTTAAAGTCTAAACTGAAGGTAAGAATAAACTCTTGGAATTAGAAATGGTGCGATGAGGCCCTGGACAGAAGGTCTGTCCGGACTCGGGGCTCTTTCTAGGGTCTGTCTTTAGCCTGGTGATGCTACGCTCTTGAGTCTTGCTGTAGTCAACTTGTGTTGGCAACAAGCAATTGAGGGCAGGAACCTAACATCAGAGGCAACACGTCACTGCCCTGGAGGAGCCTGTCTTTGGTTTACAGAGGCGATGTTGTGCTAAGACCTGTTTGTAGCTCTGCAGGAGGCAATGGGCTCTGTGCTAATTCTGCAGAACTATCACTTTAGCGTCTTAGCCCAAACCATGCCTGAGGATCTAAGGAACGATGCTGCACCGGGTTCCTCACCCCAACCAGGCAGCAGTCTTAGCTTCACAAAGAAAATGTCAGGGACAGCCATGGTACCGATGCTACGTCCTGGGCCTTCATACATCGTTCTGCTGAACAGAGCCTGCCAAGCTGTTTGTTCCTCTGCAGAGCTTTGCTATGGTAATGACACGGTTGGCGTGAGTACTTGTTTTTAATTTTATGACCCTTGTAGCCCTACAGCAGGACCAAAATTATTTAGCAGAGAAGAAGAGAATGTTATTTTAGGCCTGGACATTGTAATTTGAGCTGTGCAATCAGAACACGCTAGCTTCAACAGGACGTGGTCCAGCAGCGTGGGTCTCCTACCCCACCCTGGGCAGGTTGTAGGTCCTGGTTTTATAGCGTACCCCAGAGTACTACTTCAGAGAGACGTTCTTCAAGTCTGAGAGTTTTTATATAAAGGGCAGAGTAGCTGTGAAAAACTTTTCCTGAGAAGTGTGAGACATTTATTGATTAAAGCCATAAAACCAAAATGAAATACATTAAAATGGTGAACACTCACATTCATTCTAAGAAGGAAAAGCACTGCAGCGAAGCGACATGGTGTATTTAAACAACGCTTTTCTTTGGGATGCCAACACTGGGTTAACTTTGCCCTTCCCAGAACTAGATTGCACCTGCCTGGGTTTCACAACTCCTGCAATCAAAAGCTTCCCAGCAAGGAAGAGACCTGCACGCAATGTCCCAGAAGACTCAGTCCTTGTACAAGCTAAACAGTATCTACCTGCAATCCAGGTTGCCCTGGCACCACTGACTGGTGTGAGTGAGAATCCAAAGCTAACCAAACAGCAGGGTGCAGGATTGTGGGAAGCGAGGGTATGCACTGCCAAGCGCGATGCCTGCTCCTCTCTGCAGCAAGCTGCTGGCAGCATCCTAATGCCTTCTTAAAGCCACGAGTCTCCTCAAGTATGTAAAACGAACATGAAAGTGGAATAGATCCCTTTCTTCTCATCCAACATGCTCCGGGCTGTCCCCAGCTTTGCCTCCACAAAATGAAGTCTAGCTCTAAAGGGACCACGGGAGGTTAAGCATTTTGCGAGGCAGTTCTGGCATTTAGGTGCCCTGATGTTAGGCATAGCCTAACCTTTTCTCCCACTCCTCTCTCAGTTTTGCCCTCAAACTTTTTTTTTCCAGTCCACTCGGCTTTGGCTCTGGTGTGCCAGAAAGGGCACCCGCTGTGTTTATATAAACCCTCTGTCACCTGGCAGCAGCGATCAAATGTGTGTGTGGCAGAGGAATTTCTCCTCCTGTCCTCCATGGGGTAGAAAAGCACTGAAATTACACTTTGCTTATTCTTTTCTTCAGCTCCTGAAGCCAAAATAAACTTTGGGAAAGAAGTAGCTCAGAAGTATAAACAGAATAATTGAAAAATACTTTTCTTTCTTTTAGCAGAAACAGTCTCCAATATTATAAAAGCCCAAGCATTGCTCTCTGGCTCAGGTCTAATGCCAGCTGCCTGGTGTTGCACTCCAGACCCCTCCGACAGTGTCACACTTGCTCACGAGAGGTAAAATTCAAGCCTGTTCAGGCCACCTCGAGACATCAGCTAAGTCCCCCTAAGCCCTAAGAACAACTGAAGGCACAAGAGGGAAGAAAGAAAGGATTATTTCAAACCCCAGGATTTTCTAAGTGGAAGCAGCACCTGGCTGAGGGCAGAGCATAAACAGCCCAGAGCAGATCACGGTAGTAGCTGTGTCCTGGGAGAGCGACACAGGACCCAGACAACCTCCGCTATTAAATTAAATGACACTTGACAAATACGTTCAAAGCTCTTGGCCATTTTTTGGATTGTTTTTGCAAAGGTCAGCACATGGTTTTAAGAGACTGAAATACCTCCGCACCATGGAATACCACATGCCAACGCTCAGTGTGAACTGGGTGTTTCTACAAACCGGAGGGGACTCCGAGTCAAGTGCAAGGGCGTGCTTGCCTGACAGCGTCTCCTCCTGCAGAGTTCAGGGCTATTTTCTGTTGATCCTTTGCTAAATGGGATGCTGCACCCCGCACGTGTCATCCCGAATGTGTTTAGGAATAACGGTACTTCTTGAAAGAACCAGGGAAACTGCAGGGCTGGAACCCACCGGCTATTTTACTTCCAGAACACGACCTGTGATAGCAGTTTTTAGGTAGGGCCATGCTAAATGATGTCACACAGATGCACTGGAGGGAGTTTGCGTTGGCCAGACTCCCACTCCTTGTTCTGCAAAGGACTTTGGAGATAGAGCAATGGCCAGGACTAGTTTGAAGTCTCAGCTAGAGGTCTATAGGAAGGGTCAGCACGCCTTCAAAGGAGTCCAGCAACATGCTGTCTGGGCAGGATCCCCCTTGGGAAGGATTCTCTGGTGCCCCAAGATGAGCTGGCCTCCCCTGAGTTACTGATGGGAATTTGAATGGCTCATGGAAGAAGCCAGGCTCTCCAAAGCGGGAGTGATTCACTCTCCTCACTGAGACAATGTGCCAGGCTAAGAGCATTTTACTCAAATCCAGCAAAAAAGAAATGAGAGATGGGAGCTGGGAGGCAAGAAAATCACTGTTTCATCCAGTTGAAAAGTTAAACCCTAATGTTTCTCTTTTTGCTAGATACGTTATCTTCACTATTCCGCTAAGAATAATGCCTCTGTTATAAGCTCAGCTAAAGATTTCTGGCTTATCAAGTTCAAGGCAAAGGAGGAGATATAGAGTTGAAGAGCAGGAGGGGAAAGAAAACATACGGCTTTAATGTCAGAGCTTTGGAAATTGAGATACTTATCTAAGTCTGTTTTCTCCTTTTCTTGATTATGTTACTTTGAATTTGGACAAGGAAACCAGCCTGGCCAAACTCACTTCTGTTTCTTCTCAGTTTCACTTTCTGAAAATTGTATCGTCATAGATGTACACTCAGACATGCATCTCACTGAGGACAATTTCACAGTCAGAAGATATTTCCTGGGCCAGGAGATGATGATGAGAGGGACCTTCATCCCTACTGTCATTAAAGACCGTTGTCATCAGAGACCTGACCAACCTTGTCACACTTGCACTTATGATGGTGTCCCAGACACCATCGCAAATTTGCCTTGGAGCATTATACCAGTATACAGCCACGACGCCCGCAAAGCAAGCAGCTCGCTATTTAGGTCAAACGCAGTATTTGTGAATGGTGCTTGGAGAACAGCAGGCTTTTGATTTGCTTTTAATACAGCAGATGCTTCACAGTTGTGAATCAAAGAGTTGCTCCCCAGAATTATTGTTTCCTCTTCTCCCATTGATTAAAATGTAACATACGAGCTCACACATCAAATTATTTCCCAAAGACCTGACTCCTTGCACTTTTATCTGTGTAAAATCCTTTTCAAAGAAATCTGTTCTCCTAAAACTGCAAAAGTTCAGTAATAAAGCTAGTGCTAAATAAAAGGACAGATTATTAGCAGAAATGCAGGTGTTCAATGTTAGAAAAGAAAGAGATGAATAAAGGAAACTAAAAACGAACCGAGGGGATCTCACAACTAACTCCACGCTCAACTGAATTGCATCAGTATAAATGCAAGCACTGTGTGGGTCCCCAAATTAGGAATTATTTACAAAACAAAAAGCTTGCCTCGACTGTATTGTGCCTGTTCTAACCGTACTGAATAGCCTGCCTAATGATGATTTCTTCTTTATTTGGGTCAGGTCTTGCCGAGGAAGAATTTTTCGAGAAACCAACGCTAAGCATTGCAAAAGACCACATTGTCATCTTACCAGGAGATACCCTAAAAATAAAATGCAGGTAAGGATTGCTCCAGCAATGCTGGATTTCCTTCATTGTATCGATGACCTTGGCACAGTACAGCTTCTGGGTAGGATGGAGCAAAGGCTGCTGTTTACCCTCACGTGCATTTCTGCGTGGAGGAGAATTTGACGGGCTGTAATAGAGCAGGGAGGAAAGTCTCAGGTCAGCATTCAGCTTGGCCAGGTTCTTTATGTCGTAAAGGGGCCCAGGCAAAATCCTGAGTCAGCACGTGATGGTGGTGGGGGATGCACCATGCTTAAGGACCTGGCTGGAAAATCCTCATCTGAAAATAGGTTCAGATTCAGCTCCTCTGCTGCTAAAATCAGGCTTTCGCTCCCTGTCCATAAGTACATGACAAACAAGATCACCAGGGCATGTCACTAGCTCTTTACATATATATATATATATATATGAGCTTAAACTTCCTAACCTCAAATACCTTCTAGCCTATAAGATGACATTTATATAAACAGCAGTTAGTATGTGTACATTCAAAGACCTGACCTGTTTAAACATATCATATTCTTTAAATCAAAGATAACCAGGACTCCCAAAACCCGCAGGCTGCCGATATTATAAATTATGGCAGCTCTTCAGTCCTTGGCACAATGTGTAAAAGCTAGCCATGCAAGAAACAAGCACAGTTTGGGTAACGATGTGTGTTTACAGGGAGATGATCCTCTGGAAATGGGGGATGTAGCGTTTGGTCAGAGCTGACTGGCACGTGACTGTATGTAATACAAAGAGTCAGAGTACTTCCTGTTGTGGCAAACATACATCAGCTTGCTGGGTCACACAAAAGGTCCCAGACTGAGATGTACGTAGGCGTCACTTGTTCTGACTGTGATTTATATGCCAAGCTACCGTGAGAGGTTGTTTTTTAATTTATTCCAAGAGTGTTGTAGGAGAAAAGGCTTAAGTTAATACAGACTATAACAGTTCCTCTCTCTCTCACACACACACATTATTTTTACACCTTCTTGCAAAGTCCCCTGGACTGTAACCACTATATGGATGGTTTCCTGCAACAAGTTACTGGGAACAGTAAGAAAAAGCAGTGAAAAGGTGAACCTAATCTGTAGTTTATGCTGACACATAAGTTCCTTCTGATTTTTGTCCTAGTCTCTTTAATTGATTGTTATAGTGAAAGATAAATTGACTCATACTGTGTAAATTTGTGATGTCTTCTGGAGTATAAGGTAGTTTTTTTCCAAATACCTCCAGCTAGCTGTGTGGTTTATGAGGTCAAAACAACCTTACAGTGGTATTTTTAGCTTGGCAAGCAGCAAGCGTGATGGCAATAAAGTTTAAACAGTCCTGTAAAATCTAGATGCAGGGCTTCATAAAACACGTTGTGTGGACATGAGTTTGGTGTAGTGCTCCAGGCCAATTAAATCAATACTTTTCAGCAGTTCTCCATCCATCGCCTTTTTTTAATCTGTAGGAACATCCTATTTTTTTCATATCGCCACATGAATAAATAGATGAAGAACTTATTAGCACTTCAGTCCCAAATTGCTTTAGATGCAAAGCAATAAATCCACACAACGGGTCTGAGAAACAGAAAAGTACGCTAGCACGCTGCCGTGCTAGCATGGGAAGAGCCCCAGAGCACTTCAGTTCCTTGACTCAGGTCACACAAGAGCTGGGAATAGAAGCTGGAAGTGTGATTTCTGCACTTCAAGTGCAAGATTCCCCGTATCAGGTCCTCTGTCATCCTGCCTCCTCCACACACCAGCATCTGCACACTCACAGATTAGCTCCGGGCTGGCCCAAAGGGAGCTCTGAAGTCCTTCGTACTTCCACCAGACAGCAGACCAAGCAGGTAGCTGCTGAAGACTGCAGTAACGTCCCTTCTCCCTTAAAACTCCATTCATTTGAGGTTCTTGGCCAGGATTTCCTGATATTTGGCAACCTGGCCAAAGCTACTGCTGCGACTCCCCTCTGTCAGATGTGTGAAAATCCCAAAGCAGTAGCCAAAGTCTTCATCTTCCACCAGGATAAAACATGCAGGAGGAAAAAGTGGGCACACGTAAGGAAGCGCAGGCATGTGAGATCCCTGACCTGCTCCGCAGAGCCACGGTTGCAGATTTCCAGCCCTAATGGATACCAGACTGGGTGACAGTAGAGGGGCAGTGATGACACTCTGGGAGTTAAATGAATGTGAAGAGGCATTCATTGTTCCATATTCCGGGCCAGGAGTCCCATTTCTTGTCAGAGGTGGTCATTACGTCATTAATGACGTGAAAGAGCACTGGGTAGGGACCTCCACGTCAAAGAAAAATTCAGCGCTCTGAAGGACAGGAAGCTGGTATGACGGATGAGGTGGGGTTGTCGAAGTCAACAGTGCATCCAAAAATGAGGGCGAGGCTCTTCACCAGAGAGGATATTCACACTTTTCCCAGTGCTCTCGTTCAGCTACGTGCTGGGAATAACCTCAAGAGTTCAGCCCCATGTCCGCATCATCTTCAGGAAGGCGACAAAAGGACGGGCAGAAACGGGGGCCAAGAGGATGTTTGTTTAAGTGTCACTGAATTTGCTGGCAAATGCATTGCCTTATTGTACCTACTACACCACTACAAAGCCACTGGCACAGTAGAGTTATTAGCTAACTGGAAACTTCACACAGCTTGCTTGTTAGATATGTTCAGTATTACCATCTCTATACTGAGTCGATGCATCTAGACCGGATTTCTTCCTGGTGACGCTCAGTTGGGGAAATCCAGAGGTTCTTAGTCCTTCCTCAGCTCACCAAATGGGAATTCACTGAGTGAGAAGGGGTCCTTGTGAAGACAGACAGACAGACCCACCTCCCTCTAACACTAACTTCTTCCCCAGAAATATCCACGGACGATTACCCCCATACCCCACCAGTTTCCATATCGACCACCAAAAACCAGTCTGCTACAAAAAGGCCATATTCTTCATCTCCTAATCATCTATAGCATGTACTAGAACATCACCAGAGCCCTCAAAGTGCAGCCCAAGCAGAAGAGAGCTCCAGGAGCTCCTGCTGCCATGGTGTGGCCTGATGTTTCCAGCACAACCTGGGCCTGTTTCCGAGCTAACTCAGATCAGTTGAAAGCTCTCTTTGAGTCATGCAACAGGTTATAAAAAGGCCTTGCTTTTTGTCAGTGAACTGTGTAGAATTGCATTTGACATCAGCTGTGATCATAGATAAGACAACGAACAGGCCAGGTGGGTGAAATGGTGTATCATCTGCCCTGCCAGCTTTATGTTCTGACTGCTGTGACAAGGTGAATTGAAAAAAAAAAGGGTCTTGAGCAGATATTCTAAGACTTTTAATCTGATTAGTTCCAGACCCTTCAAAAAAATCAAGATTGAGTCACTGCTGATTAAGCAAGAAAGGTGATGCAAAGTTCCATAAATGTTCCCCTCTCTCCATGAAGCCTTAGTATAAGAAAATATAAGTTAATTTAGCTGTTAAAATATGCAAAGTCCTCAGCTTGGAAGGAACATATAATTTTATCTGGTGCTTTCTAATGTTTGAAGTGGCTAAAATATAGTGTTATAAAAACAAACTCATGTTCAGGAAGTCTGTTAAAATAAAAATTAAACTTTTCTCCAGGAGCTAGCTTGCTACAGTTCCCACAGACTATTTCAGGAGTCTCATCTGCTCTGAGGAAGAATGTGGGGTGATCCACTTTAATTCCTTATGGGTGGAAACGCAAGCACCCAGCAACCTTTATTATTCATTTCTAAATGACACGAGTAGGAGCACTGGGAACATCGATGACGGTTGGCCAGAAGGAAGCCAAAATTTTGTCTGAAGTCATGACTACCTTTAATTTTGGTGCGTTGTGTTGACAGGGGAGCACCTTCTGTAAGCTGGCTCTTGAGGGAGGACCAGAAGGAAGATCCCCGGGTGCACATAAGTAATTGTCGCAATAACACAAGGCAGAGCTGCAGCATGCTCGTCATCAAGAAAGTCATAGCTAATGACACCGGTTACTTCACCTGCATTCATGATGACTCCCCATCTGACGAGGATCTCATGGCCAAGATTTATGTGTTTGTTAAAGGTAAGAATTTCACTTTGGGTTTTTGTTACTGCTTTTTGGTAATATCAGCTGTGTTCAACTGTGGGATCTGTGCTAGGTAGAAGCAGCAGTCCAATTCAGATGCTTTCACAAATCCCAGCTCCCCACTGGCCCAGCACTGGAGCAAGCACCAGCTCTGACATTTTGAAGAGACTGGATATATTTGGATTTTCATACCAGCTGAATTCACAAGGACATAGATGTGAGAGCCAGAAATTACCTATCTTGTTCAATTCCAGGACTTGAAAACTAGATTGTCCCATCTAGTTTTGTGTTCCAAATAACTGATACACTGATTTCATTAAACCTCTTTTCCTTTTCTTTTCCTTTTAAGACTAAATTATTTTACTCTAAAGGGTTTTGCTATCCCAGTGCTTTCCCTAAGATTCGTCGTGAACACCCTAGTCCTCTGTCTTTCCCTTTTTCCCCAGGCATGAAACTCCCCAACAACATTCTTTGTAATTCCTCTCTCTCCTACACATTTGTACACTGTTTTGTCCTTCACATCTGTGAGACATACTTAGCAAAGCTGGATGACTATTATACATATTTTACTGTAAAAAAATGGCCCATTGCTCATTTTTTCTCTCTTTGAGCTGCCTCTCCCCCATGTGTCAGAATCATTGAATTCAGATCCAATAATAAATGGAAGCAGAAACTTCAGAGGAGCGTGGTCTTCTGTGATTAAGTGAATATAACATTCTGAACAACCATTTCAATAATATGATTTTTTGTTAGAAGAATATTCCCCCAAAATGCCGATTTTTTTTTCAAATCTACTTGACAAATGCATTACTAAACCACTGAATCATCTTGGATCTTCCAAGCTGAGCTTGTGAGTAGTCAGATAAAGGAGCTGACTTTTAGTGTCTTGAATAGGGGATGACATGAACTCTGTTGGTGCTGAATAGGCTTACTATTCAGCTCCCCGCAAATACTCATGAAAATGAATTCATTTCATTTTTCTAGTAAATGCTAAAATGTGATTCTTTGGATCCTCTTACTAAAACAAATGCTAGAGAGGCAATGAGTTTGTCTGATATTACTTGAATAGTTCAGCAAGCTTATACTTAGAGAAAACACATGTATTTGCTGGGCAGCTCTGATAGCATCATGGTATTGCTGATGATGGTGAAGCCATCACGAGGCGTGACTTCCATCCCAAGGGGATTGTGATACGCCCACGCAGCTAAATTCAACTTTTGCACTACCAGGTGAGCACACCTGCTTGATTCATGTGGATGACATTTTCCTGTCTCTTTATGTCTGTTGAAAATAGTCCCTTTCTACCCTTATCCTGCTTTCCCAGCAAGTCTTCCTCTTATCGGAAAGTAGCTTTTTGGTGTTACTTGTTAGTTCCTGCAGTCATTTTTTTCTCCCTTTCTATTTCCTTTTTCTGATTTTTCCTTGTTACTCTAAGCCCTGGTTGCTTTATCCACCCTGGTTCTTGTGCTGAGCTGTTTCCTTTTCTCATTACACACTGCTCAGATGCCCCACATCTAATATTGTTAACCCAGCCCAATGCCTACGCTTCAGGAAATAGTGCATTGAAAACTCAATTCTCTATCCTGATTCAGTGCCCTGGCTGGCTACCCAGGCCTCATTACTCTATAGCGGGAGCACGTGCAGGAAACGTTATGGATCTTTTGGGACCGCCTGAGCGTTTTCCTTAAGAAAATACCTCAAGTTATGAAATGCTTGCCGGCGATGCACTTGGAACAGTGCTAATCTAAAAAAAATTGCAGGATGTCCTCCTGCTCGCCTGAGACTGCTGTGCCAAGGTTCCCCTGAAAAACATCACTGAATGGCTGTTTTCACTAAATCCGCTAAAATTGTTCTCACTCAGATGCAATTTAATTGTGTCTTGTGCCCTCTCTGCTCTAAAAGCTCTTACTCAGACTCCTCTGCTTTAAAAGTTATTGAGGGAAAAGCAGGTAGAAAATGAACCAGGTCGTACCACGCACTCCATGGGTGAGGTAGAGAGAAAGGCAAGTGAGTGGGGATCCCTCTGGTCCATGTCCTAGCGAGTCAGCTGCTCATCCCTCCCCAAGCCGACCTCTGCCACAGCAGTTTCATCTGTAAGCTTGCAAGTGCCTGCTGGGATCTCCTCTGCCAGTCTGAAGAAGCTGCTTGGCCTCAGTGAAATGAAGCTATTTATACCTCAGCATGGATGCTGTCCTCAGGGCACGACCTTCCTCCCATTCAATTCCTGTGTATATTTGTTGAAAGCCAGCAGGCTGTTGTGGGGACGAGAAAGCTGTTCTTCAGTGAGGGCTCTATGAATTGTGGAGCTAAGCAAGGCATTCGGAACGTACCTATGATTTTCTTCAATATTTAAACATGCCTTTTTAAGGAAGTTGGTCCGGCAGTGTCTGGACATCACTGAGAAACCCATCAGTTGTCTCCAAGTGAAGAAACTCACAGTTCCCTGTGAGTGCCACAGAAGGGAGAGCTCCAAAAGACATCTCTCTGGACATTTTGTGGAGAGCACAAGTGGTCAGCAGGGTGTTTATGAGACTGAGCCAGGTGGAGTGAGAAAATATTGAGCCAGACCCTGAAGGCTGGAGATTCCTCTGAGGTTACAAGCCATTATTGCCAAAAAAGGAAGGGGAATGGTATTTTTTCCCTTCATTCCTGGCCTGCTGCTTGACACCGAAATGAGAACATGATTGTATCGGAAGCCCTGCTTATTGGCTATTATTTCCTGTGCTTGCTTCTGTTTTTACAGCCTCCCTGGTGGAGTTTCTAAGCTCTGTCAGAATCTGGCATTCAGCAGCTCTCCCCCCTCCCCGGTGCAATTGAGCCGTGACCCCTGCACATCGGTCAGATCATAAGGGACCCGAAGGTGGCAGGGTCAGCCGCCATGCCTCAGCTGTGCACCGACACTCTGGAGGGAGAACTCAGGATCTTAATCCTGAATAATTGTTCCCGAGGCCTTTTCTGCTTCCCGCTGCAGCTGCAAGTCCCAAGGATCGTAATTAAAAAGCAAGACAACCCCCTTCTCCTGTTGCCCATCTCCTTGTTGAAAATACAACGTAGCTTAGGGCTGGAACAGAACTAGTCGGGCGTTTTTAAACTGCGTTGTTTAACTTCATTGCAACTCGGAGGGATAACCTCTGCAAGCAAAACACAGCGACCGGTTGAACACGGCGCTGCAGTGCGGAGTGGGAAGAGCAGCCAAGCGACTCTCCCGTGGCCGCTGTCAGAGAACAGGGTGAATGGGGGAAGCCCACCCCCGGTCCGCAGAGCACGCCGGCTCTGCTGAGCCAGTTGTGGACCAGCAGCAGTAACGACAAGCCTTCCCTGCAAACTAGCTGCCCACGTAGGAGCCCACGTCAGAAAGGCTCACGCGGACGGCATTTCCACTGCAAAAGCTGCCAAAGCCAGCCAGGCAGTGTCATTTGCTTCTATCTATCTTCTGCAATTACCCTTCCCAGACAAATGGATCCTTCCCTGTGAGGAACACACTCATTTATTTCAACCTTTGAGATCCCCGTGCCAAAGGAAAGGGCAGGCTGTCTGGTTTGTGTTAAAATATAGAGAGCCCTCTCCACATTGTTTCCTAGGGCACATATAAAATTTAACGTGGCTTAGAGAAGGACAAAAAAAAAGACAAATCAAGCAAAGATTCACTCCACCTTCCCAAAGGGCTATCCCAGGCCCCAGCCTAGACAGAAGTCAGGACTTGCAGCTCTCAGTTATTTGAAATACTGTTACTGTCAGCAAAGCAACTGTCTCAAAGTAAGATAGTCCTCAGGGCATCAGCTGGAAGAGCTCTCTGTACCAGCTGAAACGCTGCCTCAGCTTCTGCAGTGATTTTCCCTTGCAGTCCTTAGCTCTGAGTAGCAGTAAGGGATTTGCTACACCTTTTTGTACCACTCAGTCGATGCATCAGTAGGAAGGAGCCTGAGCTCACTTCTGTTTTGCTTCCCTCCGTCAGCAACTTGTCTGACATTTTTACTGTGGTAACCGGAACTGGTCACATCTTGCCAAATAGTGTCTGGAGAAGTTCATCCAAGTTTCCAAGCTGTGCTTTGATTCCTGTCCGCTCACACCAATAGTACTGTTTTGCTAGAGCTGTAGGGCTGAAGGAGGCAATCTCCTCGTCAGAGACATGGGGCGAGCAGGCCAGCAACAGACATCCTCTATTATTTTTTATGCAAAGCAGGGCAGTTGTTCTGTGTCTTGAAATAATTATGGCCATGCTAGGGCTGGTTCTCAAATAGCTACTTCAGAAAAACACGAGTGCCATCTTCTCTGACCAAGATAGTGTAATTGGCACAAAATGATGTGCGTGAGCCCAGTACAACAGTGTGAGTACGCTGGGGTAGAATCACCAATTCCTGTTTGTGCCTAGTGTGGTTCACCCTTTGAACATTTTAACAGTGTCTTCCCACCCAGAGCAATTCAGCTGCTGGTGTTTCACCGTCTCAGTGTCACTGCGAGTTAGGAATACAGGAGGACTGAGGGAGTCATTTGTTTCTATACATTCGGGTTTCAACACTGACCTTCGCAGGAGCACAGTGTAACCAGAAGATACCTCTGCACAGAGTCTGAGTTCTGGCTACTTTTAAAGTTCAGATGGACACCACGACGCGCCAGCAGTGCAGGCTTGAGCCATAGTGCAGTCCTGCCAGGAGTCCAGAGGGCAAGAACTGGAAATTCAATTTAAAGCAAGACAGCCTTTTATATGGGAGCATAAGTCCTGTTAAGGCTGTTCTGAAGGAAAAAGGGGGATGCATCCAAGCAGCTTGTCCTATCACAGCATGCATCTCACCGCTCTCAGCTCCAGCCGCAAGGCATCCCCAAGGAAGGGTATGAGCTCTCCCTTGCTGTTGCAAACAATGAGGAGGAGAGGTGGCACAAGTACTGCATCAGGGTAGAGTGTCACATCCACCACAGCCTCTTCGTTATCAAACAGTACAGCCCAGAGATGTGAAGCCCCATCTTCTTCATCCCTTCCCCACTGAGAAATCGAAAGA